AGTTTCTTTGTCATAGAAATGAACTCTTGGCTTGTTGTTCCCTTCGTCTGCACCCACGGCTCAAACGAGAAAACGGACCAGGCATCACAGAGCATAGTCGTCCTTTGATTATGAATCGTCAGGCATTTCCCTTACTGGATACTTCCTATAGCACTTCCTACTATAGAAAATCTGTGAAAGTCCTACAGCTTAAGATATTTAAAATCGAAAGCTGCTGATGTGTCTTGCCACATTTGCTCTACTATCTGAAGACTAGGCATGTTGTGAGGATATGTTGCCTTTTAAAATAAACTTCTCTTTAAAGAGTTGGGGCTTTCCTGGTCACTCCGATGGTAAAGAATCTGCATACAATGCAGGAGACCCAGGTTCCATCCCTGGGTCTAGGAGATTATAGGTACCTAGAGTTTCTTTAGCTGATGTGGGTCCAGCAGGGGCTCCTGATCTGGGGCCACCATCACTTGAAGCAAGATTCATCTGCAGCCAATCCAGGCCCAGGCTGGATCTGAGGTGCTGGGTTAGGGAACAGAGTGTAGCTGCTGTAAATATAGGGTTCCTTTGGTTTAGGTGCCAGTTTAGAGGAAAGAGCAACACTCGGGGCTCTTTAAGCTGCTCTACATGTGTTCAAAGGCACCAGGGATCAGGCTGCTTTAGCGCATCTCACTGGAGTTGTCACCAGGGAATCAGATACATAACAAAGCTGTGGGCATGTTCCTGCATCTGTATGTAAAAGTGCTACATGCAGTGCCTGACAATCATGGGCTTCCAGTGAACAAGCCCCTCATGTCTTCTTGAAAATCCACCTGCCTTGTACATGGAGAAGCAAATGAATTCTCTACACCCTTATATTCTCCAGGAGTTAAATATTGATATTTTATACGTTATTATATTTTCAGAGAGTCTCTTTAAAGAAGGCAGAAAAAACTATACTACAGGGTTTCATCTGTTATTCTGCTGAAGAAGGATTGGAAAAAGAATTCTAAGTCATAAGCCAGTAGAATGTGAATTACAGTCCTAAAACATCACAACTTAGAAGGGGTATCAGACACATTCTTCCTGGGTCTGAATTTCCTCATCTCTAAAGTTAGCAAGGTTGATACAGATACCTCTGAGTTCACTTGTAGCTCTGGTTTCTGTAGTTACCTTCTATTCATGTGTGTTTGTGTTCGCAACCTTCTCCCAGATTTGCACATGTGTTACCTGATAATATGGGGTTTTCCTGGTGACCCAGATGGTAAAGAGCCTGCCTGCAATGCAGGAGACCTGGGGTTTGGTCCCTGGGTCAGGAAGATCCCCTAGAGAAGGGAATGGCAACCCACTATAGTATTCCTGCATGAAGAATTCCACAGAGGTACAGCCCATGGGTTCACTAAAAGTCAGACATGACTGAGCAAGTAACACTTTCACTTACACTTGTTAATATATTATGTTTAGTAAATAATGTAATATATAAACTTATTCACTGAGAAATAAAACATTTAAAAAAACCCATAAAGTGAACTATGAGAGTCACCCCACCCTATTTCATTCCCCAGGAGTAAGCTCAGTGTGGTTATTCTCTGCTTATATAGACCCATAAACAGTATGTGTGCATACCATTTTTATTTAATTTAAAAAAGACTAACATTATGTATTGCATACTTTTCTGAAACTTGCTTTTATTTTTTCTTAATCATATAATGTAAACAACTTCCTATCACACTTTTTAAAAAGTTAGCATTAAAAAAAAAAAAATAAAAAGTTGGCATGAGACCCCAGTAAGCAGAGAAATCATTCTCTATCATTACCCACTTCCAGCTGGCCTCCTCTCATCCAGTGGTGAACATTAGCCTGTAACCCTGTTTTATGATTAACAGAGAAGCAATATTTGTGCTGATGTGGTACAGAACTTTAATCCCTCTGTAGAAGTTTAACTTCTCATAAACAGTATTGGTTCGATTTGACCTTTTCTCTGTTTTTTTTTTTCCTAGTTGAGTCAGCACACTCAGACTGAAGAAAATCACTCAGTAGTAAACAGAAATATGGACGTCCCTCAGGGAATTATTTTTTTAATGAAAAAAGTGAGACATACTGATTCCAGACATTTTCATAAAGCCTTATAAAAAGCATCCTCATGTTTATTATGTGATTCCAGAAATACATTCTAGCAACTACAATGAGTAGGTTGCTCACAGGTCACAGTGATCCATCTGGCAGTGAGACAACCAGAACAGACATTACAGCCATTTAACCCACAGTAAGCTGAGACTCAGAGAAGTTATCGATTTGCCCATGGTCCTAGTGAGAAGGAGGCAGAGCTGGTCCTTGAACCCAGGTCTGTCTGATCTACTTCTGTGTAAACGTGTCAGATATTTATGAATTGGTCATGTGGTGTGGGGTTAGTGACACATAGCTCAAGGATTTTCGGTACTCTGGGGGGAATCACCAAGGACATTAGAGTCACCCAAAGGCCAGTTCCTTTCTTCAGTCTCACTGTTTACGTGGAAGAAGGAGTATTCCTCCTTATCCCAACATGTGCCTCATTAGCTATTTGTCCTTGGACAAATAATTAAACTATCTTACATTCTTTCCTTATCTATTATATGGCAGAGGGTGTGGAGAAGGGGGAAGCCTGGCTCCCCTGGAGATTATTGTGAGGAGTGCACTTTATAGTGCATGTAAAGCAATTAGCAGAGTGCCTGGCAATAAATAGCATTTGCTATTATTGGGCTATGTTTTTCTTTTGTTTTATTAAGGAAACATTATTTTTTGGTATTTTTTCAACTCTTTCATGACAGGGGAAAACTTTAGAGGAGAAATCTAAACTGAGAGAGAAATTTTGTACTTTGGCTTGAAGTTCAGCAACCTCAGGTTGGCTTAAATCTGACATGAAGATCTGGAGATCAGGTCCAAAGCTAACAGTCCCTGACTGCAATGTAGGAACTAATATACAAACAAGGGGAGCACCATCTTCGGGTGGCTGAGATGTAAAGGGCATTGGAAAATTATCTTCTCTGCGATCATTGCCCACTAACCTGTCCTGGTACCCCAGGGACAGCATCGTGGTTCTATTCTTGGGGTTAAGTGTTGAAGTGAGAGTAGCCACAGTGAGTGGCATCAGTCATACCTTGTCAGGAATTAGTTCAGTAACCACTGACTTCTCTATCAAGGGATAGAATACTGACAGCTTGCTTTGAACAGACACAAAATATCAAGATCGATTTGCCATGAGAAGGACAACTGGGTGGGGACTCTGCCTCATCCCACGTGGGACCTTGGACAAGTCAGTTAGCTTCTCCGAGTCTTAGCTTGTTCATTAATTAATGAAGATAATACTTGTCCTTGTTGTCTCATTGTTGAATGGATGGAATGAGAACTGAGGGGTCCGTTAGTTTCCAGGAAGTAGAAAGCACAGGGCATCTACCCTGTGTGTGAGTATATGAGGGGACAGGAGACTGGGGAAGGAGAAGACCACAGGGTAATCTTCACTACCATTTTTTTCTTTGATAATCCAACCTATTCTAACATCCAAGATGAGAATCCTGTGAGTTTGCATTTTCAAGACTAGCCCTAAGTGGCAGCAAATAGGAGCAATGATCCCCTTCCGATGACCACGACTGAGAAGTTGCTTGAGTAGGGGATTTTTGAGCCAGAGTCTGTCCTTGCCAAAGCAGTGAAGCTGAGAATTACTGCAGCAGGAATCATCACATGATGTTGGCATCCTTGGAGCTAATGGGAACATCCAGCCCAGAGGTTAGGAAAAATCCTCCCTGTCTGCCCCAGATAGTCTCACAGGTGGTTGAAGATAAGAAAAAGGAGACGCACTCCACCCTCTATGTCCCAAAGCTGAAGGGAGGTTAAATTCAAGGCCAAGTGGCAATTTCTCCTCTCAAGCTTGCTGCCTAGACAATACTCTGGTGGGACTGCAGGGGAACAGAGTAAGTGAGGAATGGCCACAGAGGCAGAAAGCTTCAGTATCCTGGCCTCAAAGTCAGCCAGGGCCCCTGATGGCACCAGGAATCCAGAGAATAGAGAGACAATCAGTTACTGCCATGACCCCTGTTTGTTAGATTTGAGCAGATCACTCACTAGTTGGTTGAGTTTTAAGATCAGTCATCCCAGTCATTTCCTGAAAGACTTTCTGTTTAGGATCACCCTGACATTTGGCATTCCACCTTCATCCATTATGGCTAATTGCAACTACTTAGGCTTCGAAACAACAGACCTTATTTGTTTAGCCAGTTGTAGAAATGGGCCAGAAATGTCAGAGGGGCCTATGGGGCTTTTCTGCACACCTGCTGTCTTGGGCATGAATCCATGTGAAAGACCCACCGTTCTATTCACAACTAACTGTCCTACACTCTTTTCCAGACCTGTCACCATGGCTCACCAGTTTCCAGCCCTCACTTCAGAACAGAAGAAGGCACTCTCAGAAACTGCCCGGCGCATTGTTGCCAATGGGAAGGGGATCCTGGCTGCAGATGAGTCCGTAGGTGAGTGTAGGAAACATCATACTACAAACACAGTCCTGATTCTCCACTTAGCAAAGGCAGCTTGATCATATGCTCTCTCCTCTCAGAGGAAATAAAGGCTTATGTACACAGGAGGGGGAACAGAAGACTCAGTAAGCACAGACCTTTGTGCTTGTCATCCCAGAAGGCAGATTTCTGAAAACCAAGTGAACAGGCTCAAGTCCTACATCCAAGCTGTAGCAAGGCCAGGAACTCAGTAAGCAGGATGAGGCCTCTGCCGCTGATGAGAAGTCAGTGTAAAGCCAGCCAAGGATGGGCGGTGAGAGCAGCAAAGTGTCAGCATCAGGAGTGGGGCAGAGCTTGTGGCTGAGAGCAGCTCAGGATGGCACAAGGGACGGTCCCCCGATAAAATGACAGGAGTCAGAGGAGTCAAGAGCCTGCCTAACCCCTCCTTCCACTGTCTATACATCTGGTCAGATCAGGGCTGGACCAGGGGAGCTAAAGAGGCCTGAGGGCCTTGCAGCCCCATTTGTACCCAGTGGTGGCATATACCTTGGTGACACGCCCAGCACATGTGCTTCCTCACCAGCATCACGACAGCAGCTAAGTCTTTCCCTGGGGAGACAAAAAAAGAAAGAGGAGCTCTGAGTCACTCAGTCATGCCCAACTCTTTGGGACCCCATGGACTGCAGTCCACCAGGCTCCTCTGTCCATGAGATTGTTAGGAGCTCTGAAGATCTGAATAAAAAAGAGCATTGCTGCCCATCCTGGTGGGGATCAGTGGTTGGTATGGAGGGGTTTGGCAGGGAAGCACCAGCCTGCTCCTTATGCTGCCTTCACCCGCCCACGTAGGCACCATGGGGAACCGCCTGCAAAGGATCAAGGTGGAGAACACAGAAGAGAACCGCCGGCAGTTCCGAGAACTCCTCTTCACTGTGGACAGCTCCGTCAGCCAGACCATCGGAGGTGTGATCCTCTTCCATGAGACTCTCTACCAGAAGGACGGCCAGGGAAAGCTGTTCAGAGACATCCTCAAGGAGAAAGGGATCGTGGTGGGAATCAAGGTGAATACATCTCGCTCCCATCTCACCTCAGCCACACTCACAACACAGAGGCTGGGACAGGGCCAACATGAGGAGCACTCTCATCATCTAATTGCTCTTCTCACTCCTTCCCATCCTCACCATCCCACTGAGAAACAGATCCTCTTCTAGACCTTTCCAGTACCTTCTTCTTTCAACCATTTTCCTACAAAGAACTTAATCTCTTTGTGTCTCCACTTTATTATTTCTAAAATGGGAATAATAGTACCTTCCTCACAAAGTTCTTATAAAAATAAAGTAAGCTTGTAAAACAGTGCCTGTCACACCATTATTATTTAGTTCATGATAGTTATTACCACTAAAACACTTACTGTTCTACTGTAACTAGGTCTTCCAAAACGTCATGAACTTCTCAAGAGTGATCATTCGTATTTGTTGAGTGCTTACAACCCCAGGCGCTCATTTACTCCTCCTCACAACCTCTAGAGATAGACTCAATTATTATCCCTATTTTATAGATGAGGCAAGAAAACAGAATTACAGGGAGTAGTATAACTTGTCCACAGCAAGGCAAAATTGGAGCCAGTTCAAACCCAGACTGCTGCCTCTTGGGCTCATGACCTTAGCCTCTGATATGTTGACAGTGGAGGCTGCATCCCTATTCCTCTCAGCTCCTGTAATAGCATAGGGCTTGATATGTGCAGTGCTCGATAAATGTCTCTTGAGTAAATGAATGAATCATTTAAAGGAAGTGGCTCTTATACAGGCACCGCTTCATCTCAGGTGCTATGAGATCACTTCTTGCTTCTCAAGCTCAGGCCTGTGCTTCCCATACTTTCCATCCTCTTAGGGTTGATACTCTTAGACTGTCCTTTCCAGATAACTTCACTTCTCCTGTGGGCTGAATCGTGTCCCCTCAATGACAACTCCTTGGTTTGTGAAAGATGAGAACTACCATTTAGCACCAGGGCTCTGCTTGTATTTTCCAGGGACACCTGACACCTGCTAATTGTTAATTATTTATATTCACAGTTAGACCAAGGAGTTGCTCCGCTTGCAGGAACAAACAAAGAAACCACCGTTCAAGGTGAGGATTTTGCCCACTGATATGAATCATGCCAGTATATACCAGAAATGAAGACAAGCGAAGAAGTGATGGGGGGAAACAAACTGAATATCACACAAGTTTTAGAGCCACACACCTGTTCTTCAGCCCTAGCTACTCTACTTCATAACTGTATGCCCTCAGGCTAGTCACTTAAATATTCTGAGTCTCCATTAAAGTGGGATAGCAATATTTACTTTGCAGAATAGTTGTGGGGATTAAAGTAGACACTGCACATAAAATGCTTATCACAGTGCCCTGGACAGAGAAGATACTTTATACTTTGGAATATTATTTTAGAAAAATCTAGCATCAGTAAAGAGGAAAGATCCCAAGCTATGGGATCAGACACACTTGTGTCTGGATGCTGCTTCCATCACTCACTAGATAATTTTGCAAGGTTTATTACTGCCCAAGAGATAGGTGTAAACCATAGCATTGGGTTAGCTAAGCAGACTAAATCTCAGCTCTGTCTCCCTTTAGCTATTCAAACTTGAAGTTACCTTACCTCTCAGAGCCTCAGTTTTTGAATCTGTAAAATGAATATACAACTATGAGTTATATGGCTATAACAGTATAACAACTATTAGAGTTGTTATGATTATTAAATGAAATAAGATGTGCAAAATATTTTTAATCATGCCTTGGAACACAGTAAGTACTAAAATATTAGTTTTCTTTACTCGTCTTATAGAGTGTATAATATGTATATCAAAATTAAATTTATTAAACACAGATCTTTTGACTTAGCACTGGAATGTTTGTTTCTTTGCTGGATGTTTCGGGACCTCAAGCTCTGTGACTGAAAGCTAAGCAAAAGGGCAACTCCTTCACTTTATCAGTAGCTTCTCTCTCATGACTTGCAGGGCTTGATGGCCTTTCTGAACGCTGTGCTCAGTATAAAAAAGATGGTGCTGACTTTGGGAAGTGGCGTGCTGTGCTGAAGATTGACAACCAGTGTCCATCCCATCTCGCTATCCAGGAAAACGCCAACACCCTCGCCCGCTATGCCAGCATCTGTCAGCAGGTGCTCGTCCTTACCCTTGGCCTCAAATACAGTAGGCGAGAGTTTTCTTCAAAGCCCAACTGTCTAATTTTACTGTAACCATACATGATCCTTCCTTTTCTCTCACCACTATATCCTGATGGCATTTTTTTTTTAATACTTATACTAGGTGTAGTAGAGTAAGATTTGGTTCCATAAGTCAGCTATGAATCCAAAAGGCAAACATCATCAAGTTTGGCCTTCTACCAAAGCACTGTAAGCTGAGTCTTGATGGCAATCATCTCTTGAGGTCAGGGCATTCGCATGTTTATGCCCCACTGTGGCCAAGGACATGATCCTCTTAATCCCTAGCTCAAGGGTGACAGCCTTGATCTGGTTCCAATTCAAATAATTTGTTGGAGGATGGTAGCTTGATGCTAAAGTTTCCAACCTGTTGGGAAGTGCCTCTGGGATCCAACTTAAGTCTGATTTGCTTGTGTGGGTACAGTACTGGGATTACCAGAATTGTGGGCACTTGGAGCTTCCCAATCAATCAGAACTGAAAACATTGCTTGAATTCCTTAATTAAACCATACGAGAGCCACCTTTACTGGTGATTTAAGCTTGCCTGCCCTGAAAGGATGACATATAGGTTCTGAGGTAGTAGAATAGTCTCTAGAATGAGATACAGAAATAGAGTTTGTATTTACTGTACCCCATTTCCAGGAAAACTTTCTTCCCCCCTCACTGTTCTTTTTTGGCTAAACCACAGATGCTCACTACATATCCCATTAAATTTATTTTCATTGACTTTAAGTCATTTATATGATATTTCTCCATAAGGGCTTCACCCTGTACCAGTTGGAATGTTAACTATCTTAAGGAAAAGATCCCAGTGAACAGAGCTTCATTCTGTCCCCTCCACTTTCTCTTTAGAATGGTCTGGTGCCCATTGTTGAACCGGAGGTAATTCCTGATGGCAGCCATGACATGGAACACTGCCAGTATGTTACTGAGAAGGTAAGTCTTAAACATAAAGGTTCCAATGCCAGTTACAAAATCTGTTTTTAAGTGACAGTTGTTATGTATCAGCTGTTACAGGTGAAATATTCTACAGTTAGAATCATTATGTAGTTTTGAGAAGGTAAGGAGGTATTATCAAACTTTTCACTTCGGGGACACATGGTATACTCCTTGTAAAGAAGCACAAGATCTGCACTATCAACACTAGGGTTTAAGCACCCATGTTCCCAGTTGTGGGACCTGGGGCAAGTCATATTATCTTTGGGGGCCTCATTTCCATTATGTTTAAGAAATTTTAAAATAAGATGAGGCTTCCATGAGAAAATGTAATTAGAAGGTGATTTTTTCACATATGACTTTCTAAATTCGCCACATTCTACAAATGCCACCAGACAAAAAGCATGGCACACATACGAATTTCTAAATTTGTACATCTGTAAGAAAGCAGGAGAGTCCTCAGTTTCTCCACTTGCAAAATAAGGTGGACTGAAATGATCTCTGAAAGCACTCCTGTCTCTAAAATTCATATTTTTATGATCACTCAGCTTCTATGGGGATAGAGAATGGAGGCTGATTTGGATGTCCCCAGCAAATTAAATCACGGCAGACTCAATTGACCAAAGGGAGTAATGGGAAGGACGGAGTGAGGGGCTTCTGGGAAGCAGAGCCATCCGGTAGCCCCTGCAGTGAGCAGTTAGGGGAGGGGCAGCAGGGCCAGGCTGGCTTGGCTGTGGTTTGCAGGCATCACCCTGACTGAGCCTAAGGGCTGGTTGGGAAGCTTCAGCCAAGCAATGTGTGGGAATTCCTTCATCCTCCTTCCCTGCAGGGTGGAAGCGCCATGGTCAGGTGCCTCTACGGCTGACTCTGGGTTTCACCTGTGTGGATCTTTTGTCCATCAGGTCCTGGCTGCTGTCTACAAGGCCTTGAATGACCATCACGTTTACTTGGAGGGCACCCTGTTGAAGCCCAACATGGTGACTGCTGGACATGCCTGCACCAAGAAGTATGCTCCAGAGCAGGTGGCGATGGCCACGGTTACAGCTCTCCACCGTACTGTTCCTGCAGCTGTTCCTGGTAAGATTTTCTTTCTTCTCTAACTTGAGATCTTAGTCCTCATTCTTTGAAGGAGTGCCAGAAGCATCTGCATGTGTCCAGGACTCTCCTTCCAGCCGTGAAGCAGATCTCTGCTATCTCACAGGTAGCCAACACTTCCCCCTCAAACTCCATGATGCCACCTATCCCGAGTCCATCAAAATACATACAATCCATTGATTTCCTCAACATTTCACTGCCCTCTTATTTACTAAATCCCTTCTCTCCTCAGCCCAGCTAGCCTCAGCAAAGGCAAGCTAATCTCTCCAACCTAGTCCTGTGCAAATCAAGTAGGGAAAAGATTGAGACATGACATTTCTTTTAGGCTCCTTGCTTGCTTGCTTTCTCAAGCAGGGTACACAGCCAGGATTAGTGGAGTGGAATGGCTTCTCTCCTTCCAGGCATCTGCTTTTTGTCTGGTGGCATGAGTGAAGAGGATGCTACTCTCAACCTCAATGCTATCAACCTCTGCCCTCTACCAAAGCCCTGGAAGCTAAGTTTCTCTTACGGACGGGCCCTGCAGGCCAGTGCATTGGCTGCATGGGGTGGCAAGGCTGAAAACAAGAAGGCAACGCAGGAGGCCTTTATGAAGCGGGCCCTGGTAAGACGCTGCTTCTTATGTACTTAATCAAGTGGATACTTGGGACCTGGCTCTCATTGCTTTCTTCAGGCCATGATGCACTCCAGAGAGTGTCTACCAGGCATTTGAAATTGTGGCATTAGAGGTTAGTAGGAAAGTCAAGGCTGGAGAGAGTTTTGAACTCTCCACACAGAGAGTATAATTGATGTTAGCAGATTGAAGGACAGTTTCCACAGAGACACTTTAGAGGGACAGTGAGAGGGCCAAGGAATAACATGGGATAGTTTTCGTTTGGGAAGATGAAGAGGAGAAGCCACCAAGACAAGCAGATAGTATGTATTAAGATGAACTAAGGATTCTAGGAACAAACAGAACGAAGTTTCAAAGGGTCACTAACAGCACCCTACAAAGAGGGTAAAAATAAAGGTGGGAAAAGACTTTGGAGATACTGGCATTAAAGGACATATGAATGACCCTCAACAAAATGGGCTCAATAAAGAAAAGGTACCCATTCAAGATGCTTGTCAGGAGAAGACACAGAAAGTTTACCAGGAACAACAAGGACAAAGAAGGGTCTTATTCAACTACTAACATTCCTTTTTGAGTGTCTATGAACCAAGGATTGGGGTGAACAAAGCAGACACCGCCAGTGCCTTCAGGGGATTTAAGAGTTTAGCCAAATAGGAAAGAGCTTGGAATGTTTAAATATAAAGCAGAAGGAACCAAAGGAGAGATTAAAGATTAGGAAAGGACAGAGACTTAGAGGAAACAGTGCTACATGAGACAAAATGTTAAATACAGGAGGCAGAGTTGGTCTTAGAAAGGAGGGAAGAAATAGCGAAAAAGAAACAGAATGAGTTTGGAAGCAAGTCTGTAGAGGTGGGGAGATGCAGTGGTTGAGCACTGATTACAGGTGACAGCATCTGTTGAGAGTGATAAGGGAATGGAGATTTCGGTCTTCACAGTGCGGAACTTGGAATAGTTGTTGAAGTGGTTGTTAGGAAATTGACCAGAGGTTATGGCAAAGCATCAAGCAAGATGCAATTGAAATGAATTTGTTTGGTACATTAAATTAGATCCCAAATGTTCCTGACAGCTCTCTTAAGCATGTAGGATGATTCAGATGAGGCTAAATGGGAACGAGCAGGGTTGAAGAATCAGAGTTTAACAGGGAGATGGAACAAATTTGAGTGATAGCCTTATCCAGCTTGCTGCTGATGATGAGAGGGGAGCCTGGGCAAAGAATCAGGCGTAGCAAAAAGTTTGATGATAAGGCGCTAAAGGAAAGGAAGGCTACAGAGAAGCTAAAAGCATCATCTCAGAGGTGTAAGAGAGGTGTGAGATTTTAGAGGTGGTGCTTTACCTTTTACCCACTCCACTGTTCTTGCCTGGAGAATCCCAGGGACGGGGGAGTCTGGTGGGCTGCGGTCTATGGGGTTGCACCGAGTCTGACATGACTGAAGCGACTTAGCAGCAGCAGCAGCTTTACCTTTTGATGATGATGGGTGTGGCTCTGCTGGTGTGTGGCTGATGAGGTGGGAAGATACAACAAATATGATGAAGGGATTATGCAAGTAAGGGTTATCTACACAAAAGAAGGGATGCTAAGCTTCTCATCTAGAACAGTGGTTCTCAAGCTTGAGCATGCATCTAAATCACCTGAAGGGTGTGTTAAAATGCAGGTGGCAGAACCCAGCCACTGAGTTCCTGATTCAGAAGGTCTGGGGTCAAGCTGGAGACTTTCCATTTCTAACAAGTGCTTAATTAGGCCCATGAAACCTAACTTCAAAAATCATTGTAGATGTAGAAATAAGTCCTGGAGAGATCAGAAAATGGCAACAGTGACTTGAAGACAGGTACTGTTAAGTGGCATTTGAGTGTTATGACAGGTTTCATAATTCTGAAGTCAACTTTAATTGGAATTTACACAGGGTATCCAATGATATTACAATAACAACTACATAAAAAGTATGTATTCTTATGGACAAATACATGTAGAAAACGTAAAACTTAATAAAACTTTTTTTTTTTCTTTTTGCTATAGAGAAGCTTCAGCTACACTTGCCTGATGTTTGGCAATATGTCTGGTCAGTTTCCTAGCAGACTACTCAACAACTATTCCAAGGTTCCCAAATTGAAACTGAGATTTCCATTTCCTTATCACTGTACGAGTGAGAAGTTTCTCAGCTTTAATTTCTAGGACGGTTGTTGCAGTATTGCTGGTACTAAAAAGAAACCTTCTTAGTTACACAGAGTTCAGGCTTGCCTGAGAAATGCTCAGAAAACTGGGATTTTAAAAAGGAAGTAAGGTATCAGCATAAAAGAAAAGGAATGGTATCAGCAGCAATATTTAGCAAAACCACTGCATGGAAGAAAAATCTACATGAAGGTGTAGCTGGTTTCAAATGAGAAGCAAGGAGGGTCAAGCTCAGCTTGCTCTAACTCGGTCTCCTCTCTCACACTTGTGTTTTAGGCTAACAGCCAGGCAGCCAAAGGACAGTATGTTCACACAGGTTCTTCTGGCTCCGCTTCCACCCAGTCGCTCTTCACTGCCAGCTATACCTACTAGAACCCAAGGCTCACCAGCTTGGCTCTGGCGCTCTAGGTGTCTTGGTAGGAGGGCTGAAAGGAAACAACGACTTTCTGACTGACCCTGGAAATCAGATGAAATTAGGTTGGAAACTACTGGAAACACAACACATGTTAAATTCTTAGACACATGTGGAAAAAAATCAGTTATGGAAACATGAGTCTGAATATCAGGGATCTGATGGAATCTCACCCAGTGGTTTCCTTACAACACTTCTAGTTCCCCACACCCCAAAGTGTCTATCTCAGAAAAGAACAGACTTTAAAGCAGAACCAGCTCTCCATCCAGATCACCAGATGAAACACCTCCCAAGCCGAGTGCAGAGAAGCACATCTTATTAAACAGTCTTAGCAGTGGTGGGTTATGAAGGAGACAGCTGCAACCAAAAAAGAAATAAAGTGTTCTACAAACCTTCTGTTTGTATCAGGTTTTACTTTGTGCTCTTGCTTCCAAAGGACTTGATACATTTCATTACCTTTGACTCTACAGACCTGACTGCCATTAGCCTCAGGTTCCTCAGTGTTGGTTACTCATTGGACTAACCTGGCAAAATTAAAACACCCAGGATGCTCAGGCCACGCTCCAGCCAAGTTTGAGAACTATCAAGCTAGATTTCAAGTTTGAGGGTATTTAGAAATGAAGGCTATTCATAATGTGAAGCAAGCTACATTGTAAAACGATTCCAGACAACATATGGAGTGTAATAAAGCAATCACTGTGACGTTGATGGCTTGGAACACTCCTCAACAAATGGCACAGGTTTGGTGACACAGGACTGCATCTTCCTCTGCACATCCAAGCATACCACGTAGTTTTGCAGGAAGTAATATTCACATGCTTGTTGGCTTCTGATTTTCAGAATTAACCTATAAAAGCATTAAAGACAACCATAGTTACAAGAGAGAATTTAATTATAACTTTGGACAATATAAAAGTAATGATTTTGGTGAAAAAAAAGTAATGTTTTAACTGAGAGGAGCTGAGAAATTCAAGGGGGAGAAGACTGGAGGAAAGCAAAGAAAACAGTAACTTACTTAATGGGGAGTCAGGCTACTACTTGAAATTGATAGATTAAGAAGTAGTGCTTTGAAAAAAAAAGAAAGTGCTTTAAGTCTATTAAAATAACAAGGGAAATGGATTTAGTCATTAAAATATTCCTACCTATAACAAAAATAGAAGAAGGTGGTAAACTAAATTCTTTGTCTTGAAGACAAAGTTTTCCAAATATTACTTAAGAGTAGATAAATTAGGAAGTAGAGGCATAAACATATGATTTAGAGGAATAAGACAGAATTAATTCAAAGGGACTTCTGAGGAAAAAGACTTGGGAATGGGACACAGGGAAGATGTTTACTTACGTGCTTCTACAGCGTTTGAGTGTTTCTTTCCATGTGGCTGTATTACTTTTCTAAAAACAATTACTATGTTCATATAAACAATTCAAACCTACTTAGAGGTTATTTAATCCAAGGCTCTCATTTTACAGATGATAAAACCGAGTCTAGAGAAATTAAATTACTTGAGACAGTCATACATTTAGGGGTTTAGGGTAAAGCTGAGAGATTAGAATTTAGGTCTTTTTCTCCTATAATGGACACACAGTCAGGGAGGAAGGTAAGGGCAGGGCAACAGGCTGTGTTCAGTACCTCTGCCACCAGCACTATAGATCTTTTAGATTTCTTTTTGCATTCATCTACTCAATCAGCAAGTAGTTGATATGCTAAACTGTCCTAAATGCTGGTAACACTTATGTGACAAAGCTTCCCTGCCACAAATTTTTTATCTAGAGTTTATTCAGCTTCTCTAGTGGCTCAGACAGTAAAGAATCTGCTTGCAGTGCAGGAGACATGGGTTTGATCCTGGTGTTGGAAAAATCCACTGGAGAAGGAAGTCACTACCCACTCCAGTGTTCTTGCCAGGACAGAGGAGCCTGGCAGGCTACAGTTCATGGGACTGCAAAGAGTCAAACATGACTGAGTGACTAACATTTTCATTTATTCAGCATCACTGACCCTAAGTTGTAAAGATACCTCTCAGATTCCCATTTATGGTTGGGTATAAATTTATAATCAAGGTTGAGCTATTTATGTCTTTTGGTCAAGGCTGAATTACCTTTCACTGTGGGTGAGGATTTATATAATGAATTTCCCCTGGCTATCTGATTTATTTTCCTGACTACAGTTGTCTTTGAAATCTTAGCCCCAGTAGTTTCCTTCACTCACAGTAATATGAAGACAAGTGTTACAAACTTCAGTTCCTATTAACTGTGTGGTCACTGAGTGAATGTATTAGTTGTGTCCTAGTTTTTGGTACACTGTCAGATTTATTCTAGGAGTTACTGAAAGTCTACTAAAAATAAAACTGATACTAGGCAGTGAAAGTAAGAGAAGTTCCAGCTTTAGAGTAGCTATGATATTTGCATACCAAGCAATTAAATTTGAGTAGCTAAGCCAGAAACACAAATGCCACTGACTGTGGGTTGGGAAGTGGGGAGGAGAGTCTATCAATATGGCTGGGTGCAGAAGGGAGGAGGTGACATTTAGTTTGGACATCACAGGATGGCAAAAGCAAAGGCACTCTCAGAAAAGGAACTGCCTTTGTATGAGGAAATATTTGAATAATTCACTGGGAGGAGATGGGACTTTGAAGGCATAAGTAGCAAAAGCTCAGGCCACAAAATAATTACTGAATGCTGGAAGGAATAATAAAAAGGAATTTGGTTTTGCTGTGAAAAGGAAGAGGGAGAGAAGTGAGGTAAGAGGCAGGGAAATGAGAGAGGGGAAAGAGAAGGCAGGAAGAAGCCAGGGCAATGTAGAATTGTGGGGAGGTCTAAAAGACTTTTGAGAAAGAGAGAAATATCAACCAATCTGAACATATTTGTCTTCTTGAGAGGAAGGGCTGAGTTTCACCTATGAGTCCACATCATCCTTTACAAAACCAAGATGCTGACATGATTCATAATGTGAATTGATTTAGCAGAAGCCAACTCTAACAATGAGAATATATGCTTCTAGAAACTTGCAGAAATCTTGGAGCAGGCTTTGGGCAAATCAGGAATGGGACTTCAAGACCATATGGTCTAGCTGTGCTGGGATGAGAATCTCCAGCTGACACTGACATTTCATTCACAGCAACAGTGGAGGAAACTGGCATCCAGTGTGCTAGGAAATTGTTCAAGGTCACATAACCTGTAGTGAGACTTAGGCTGGTGTGATTTGCAAAGTCCTCTGGGAAGGCAGTACTCACAGGGAAGCACAGGTTCTGGAGTCCGACAGTCTAGGTCCCAGTGCTGGCTCTGCGCTTCCTAGTCATGTGACCTTGGAAACCTTATACAACCTTTCCGTGGTTCAGTTTCTTCCTCTCCAAAATAACAGTATCACAAATTATTGAGAGATTAAATGAGTCAGTACATCTCAATGACACATTCAGAATCTCTTATCCACAACTGTGAAATCTAAAAAGCTTTAAAAACCAAAAATTTTCCCAGAAGTTTACAGTAAATTATTTGGTGGCAAACCCTAACTCAAGAATGTGATCTTGATTCCACTTCATGGGAAGCAGTGATGTGTCTGATGATGGGTGCTGACTCGGACCCTGTAGAGGGGATGATGAAATATATAGCATAAACATATATTTGCTAAGATATAAAAAATCTGATTTGTGAAACATATGTGTTCTCAAAGCTCTCAGATAGAGTTGTGAGCCTGTTTTTTAGAACAATATCTGCCATACTTCTAGAATAACAGCTGAATTTTCCATGCCCTAGAGTCCCAAAGGCTCATGTAATGCTATGAATTCTCTAAGCATATTTTCTACAGAAGATAAATTAAGAGACAGGAGTAACAGCAAAGCTCAACAGTCAGTTACAGCTCTATTTTCATCACTCGAATATGGTTTTCTGGCTGTAACGTACTCTGTCCTAAGGCTCCTGAAATAGTCTGACACTCAGTACTGGGTGTCACTATATGTGGACATATATAAAATCAGTCAGCAAGTATTCATTTAGCACTACTGCATGCTTGGTGCTGGAAAAATACTATATTGTCCTTGTGTGCTTACCACTGAGATGAGGAAGGCAAGGATACAGTTAGGAAACAAAATGGTATACAATAATGTGCTAAATTACACTGGTATAGGTAAGGTGCTGAAATAAGACGTGGTATGAATTGCAGACAGTTTATTGCTAGTTGTATGATCTTTGGATCTTGAGTCTCAGTTTTCCCATCTGTAAAAACAGGTTTGCTGTTAGATTAGCAATACTTTTTGTAAAGTGCCAGATATATAAGTCATGAATAAATATTTTATTTTTTCTCTGTCAGTTGGCTCTTAAAGAATGGTAAAGGCAGTTGAATGGAAGTGAAGATGAATTAACTGTGTCCTGATTAGAGTACAGATTGTTTATTTTGAGGAAGTTGTGGGAAATTAGATTAAAATGGTGAGAAATTAGATTAAAATGGTGAGGCCAAGGGGAGCGGCACAGTGGGGTGGGAGGGCAGACTGGGCAGGGATATTAGGAAAAGTTTTGCCTTAAACTAACAAGAAATGGGGACCTGTGAGTAATCTTTGATCAGGGAATAACATAATACAAGAGTATTGCTGAAAATTAGTTTTTATACTGTATTTCCTACTCCAGGGGATCTTCCCAACCCAGGGATTGAAGCTGCGTATCTTGCATCTCCTGCATTGGCAGGCGGATTCTTTACCACTGTACCACCTGGGAGCCCAGTTCCTGTAATCTATCATTGTCTTGTTGTTTAGTTGCTCAGCTGTGATATGACTCTTTGCAACCCCATGAACTGTAGCCCGCCAGGCTCCTCTCTCCATGTAATTTCCCAGGCAAAAATACTGGAGTGGGTTGCCATTTCCTTCTCCAGGGGATCTTCCTGACCCAGGGTTTAAACCTGCATCTCCACACCTCCTGCATTGCAGCTAGATTCTTTATTGCTGAGTCACCAGGGAAGCCCTTATCTATCCTATTGGTTTTCTCTGGAGAACCCCAAAACATCTAATATTTTGCTTCATCTGCTTTAACCCTAATTTTCTGACTGTTCCATGTGTGAATTCCCACAGGAATCTGAATGATGTCATGAAAGCCAGTGCAGGAGACACAAGAGACGGGGGCTCAGTCCCCGGGTTGGGAAGAGTCCCTGGAGTAGGAAACGGCACCTGCTCCAGTATCCTAGCCTGGGAAACTCCATGGACAGAGGAGCCTGGAGGACTAGAGTCCACGGGGTCCCAGAAGTGGACAAGACTGAGTGACTGAGCACACACATTAAAAGTCAGCCTTTTACTTCAGCTGGGCCCTAAACAGACCCCAAAAGCCCTCCCCAAGTTTTTGATTGGGTCTTTCCCACTGTCCCTAATGGCTACTCAAAACTTTCACCATTGACAAGTTTCCCCACTCCTCATGGTAGTCACCCCTCTTCCTTCCCTCTCATGGATTGTACTATTTTTGGAAAATGGGTCATCTCAAGTGTATTCCATTTCTTTCTCTTCCCTCAAAGTGAAAGTTGCTCAGTGGTGTCCAACTCTTTGCAACCCCATGGACTATATACAGTCCATGGAGTTCTCTAGGCCAGAATACTGGAGTCGGTAGCCATTCCCTTCTCCAGATCTTCCTAGCCCAGGGATTGAACCCAGGTCTCCTGCACTGCACGCAGATTCTTTACCAGCTGAGCCACCAGAGAAGCCCTCTCTTCCCCTCAGCCAGACCCTAAATCTGTACTCTTTCCCTTTCTCCCAATTGGGAGGAAGAAAGCTGCTATAGTAAATCCTTCCATTAGTGCTAAAATTCATCTTTGTTTATCTAATAATTCAGTTTTCAGCTGCTCTCATCTTCAGTTTCTCCCTCAACTGGTTATCTATTCAGAATGGAAAAATACTCAATTTTTCTCTTTAAAAAATTTCCCTTCTTTTTGTTACCTTTTACAGACAAGTAAAATAATAATCAAAAAAGGGTTGTCATTTTTTTAAACTAAAGACATATAGTCACAGACCAAAATTACTATTATTTCATGAAAGGACTTTTTTAAAAAGGGGCATTATTTCAGAATAAGGTTAAGGTCTTGAATCAATTTAGCTTTTTTACAAAGACATTATATTGTCCTTGTTTTACCATTGGAATGTAGAACAGTTACCTTTTCACCATGAATTTACAGCATTTGAGAATTGATGTACTCTTCAGACACTATTTAAGCCCCTGAAAACTGNCCCCCCCATGACCAAGTACCAACCACCCAAACCCACCTTGAATCTTTACTCTTCTTCAGCCTTTCTCATTCAACTAGCAATCAAGTTTTACTCCACATTTTTAAAGTTCATATCCTTCTTTCATCCGGCCTTCAAGACACCACAATGTCTCAACAGTACTACTCTTAGGAGACTCTTGAAATTAACATGGAAACAACAGGCCCTTAAACCCTTACTTTGTGCAATTTTCTGAGGTTAAGATCCCCAGATGTAAGAAAGGTCAAGAACCAGTCTTTTCTTTTCTCTCCTATTCATTTCCACATCACCTCGAGTTAAAATGAAGGCACCACAAGATGTGTTGTGTGTATATTTGAAAAGGTACACAAGAATCTTGGGTATCCGTAATACTTCTTAAGCAGAGTACCAGTTACTTAGGGGTTTACTTGTGAAAACTCACTGAGCTGTATTCTTAAAATGTGTCCTTACTCAACATATCATAAATAGAAGGAAAATATTACCACGGGATTTTAGGCAGAAATCAAGTCCTGTCTCTTAAGCATGATGCTTGTTTATGGGCAGTCTTGCCTCTTGTCACATTTCTATCACGAGTTCACTCTGTAGCTACCAGATCCTCTCACAACTCTGTCTTCAGACAGTATTCACCTTTTCTAGTACTCTACTTTGTCTCATCTTAGGCATCATTTCCTCCTGGAAGATTCAACTTTTTCCTTCCCGGTCTTCTACGAACTTCATATCCCTCTCTAAACTCCCCTGCCTATTTCTATCATTTTCTTTGAAAAAAGCAGTGTATACTGCAGTGGACTTGCTTAAAAACAAAAACAAAAACCTTTCTGGCTATGCTTTTTTGTAGCCAATGAACTGAACACATAAGAACCATTTCTGTTACTGAAATTTGGAGCTAAGATTCAAGATTCATATTCAAGTATGTTAAAAATTATGTACTTTTAGTGGGAATATTTCATACCACCATGGCCCCAAATTACAGTGAAGTCGACAGCCAGAACTTCTGCTCAGCTAGATAACCATACATGAAACAATGCAACTTCAGCAAAAATCAGAGAAAATGTTTAGTGTGCATGCAGCAAAAATACACTTTGCATTAGGTTTTCAAAACAGAGAACAGGTCTAAGAACCTCATTATTAGTTGGGAACCTGGGCTGGGGAACTACTGGTGCAGAAAAAGTAAAATGGGACGATTTAGGGTAGGAGGATAATTTTACTGAACAATGCATTATCAGTTGTTTTCTACTTTTTACTTGTACAAACAGTTAACTATAGTCAACGGTTCAGTTAACTGTATGGTAACTATGAGTACTTGAATAAGGAAGTGCACAAAAAGGTGTATTTTTACACACACCATAACATCCACACTTACATGTGCACACACACATACACACACACACGCATATTCAGAGATGGGAAGATGAAAATTTAGAGGTGATGTCAAGAATGTCTAGGTTATAGGAGAAAATGAAGTCTTTTGCTTAAAACTATTAAGAAATCTGGAATAATAGTGTGCTAGTGATTTGGAATTAGGAATGAAAGATTTAACCTCAATTGAACTATCCCAGAAAAGGTAACTAGTCAGAAGTAGAACAAATGAGAGCAATTTAAATTCTTGATTCTAATTTTTAAATGCAGTAATGCATTTGACAGGATAGATTTTACAATGGAGTAATAAACTCTTACAAAGCAAAAAACAAAACAGATTTAATGACTAGAACAGATGAATTAATAGGTTTATAATAACCATTAACTAAAGGAAGCCCTAGAACCAGAAATAAAGATTGCATGCAAAGTCTAGTTACCATAAAAACCAAAGCAATACCAAAATATCTGTTTCCTAGCATAGACTCTAGGTCTTTTTATTTCCAACTCTTGGTAATCAAAATATTTACACTTTCACATGCTACTGGTAGTAGAGGAATAAGATCTGTCTAGGACTACAAATCTCTTTCACAGAATGGAGGGCATAAAAAGAACAGTGTCTTCCTCCACCTTTTTGGGCCCATCTTAGGGGAAAAAAAAGGCACTCCCAAAGGTTCCTTGGTAACACCTTTGCTGTTTGTTACATAATCTTTACATATAAAATTAATGGTCCACTCATTTCACAGATCTGGGAACCACATGGCATTGGAACTGCCTTTAACCCACATGCCAAACTGGCTTTAACAAGGACAACAGCTTTGGATGTCCGTTCTTTAAAAAAAAAATGGGGGCTTTGTTTCCTTGAAAACATAATCATATGCTTAACCACTGAACTTTGGCATACACAGCCAAACATATTGTGGAACTGAAAGAACCACCATATATTTCGGTGCCAGAGGACTAAGTTTTCTAACATCAGCTGCTTCCAACTCCTGTAGGCATATGCAACTTTGTTCTTCTCCCTTTTATTAATTATAATTAAGTGCTCTGAACTTGGCTTTAACCTCTCCACTGAGAGATCTGGGGGCGGGGGAGGGGGAAGGCAGCTTAAATTACTGAGTCTTTCTCTGATCAAAATGAAGAGTAATGAAGTCTTCAACTGCTTGTGGGCAGCTACCCATTATTCACAGAATCTTTAGAAACCATGTGCCTGAGGCCAAAGAGCATCTGCTTTGATCACTAAGTGTGACTCACATTGAGCCATACTGAAACTGCACTTGGGTACCTGATCTAAAGTCAAACTGAACTTAAGTATTTCTCCACATTTACTGCATCCATGTAGCATGCAATTTTTGATGCTGAATAAGAGAAATGCGGCAATTGAAGGCTTCACCACAAGCATCACATTCATGGGTTTCTTGAATTTTCACCTCTGCATGGATCTTCTGATGGTTGACAAGGCTGCGCTGCTGACTAAAACTTTTGTCACACTTCTCACACTTATAAGGTTTTTCTCCTGTATGTATTCTCTGATGCTGAATCAGGCCAGAGTTCCGGCTAAAGGCCTTCCCACATTCATCACATTTATGGGGTTTATTACCTGTGTGAACACCCTGATGTCGAATAAGATTACAAAGTTGACTAAAACTTTTGCCACACTGTCTGCACAGATAGGGTCTCTCACCAGTGTGGATTCTCTGGTGTTCAATAAGAAATGAGCTCCGACTGAAGCTTTTCCCACATACAGTACATAGGTAGGGCTTTTCACCAGTGTGGATTCTTTGATGTTGCACAAGATGAGCACTGACACTGAAAGTTTTCCCACATTCATCACATTTATAAGATTTTTCCTTAGGGTAGACTTCCTGTTGTATAACAAGACCACCATTTGGGTCAAAACTTTCCTTGGTTTCAGTGTATGCATAAGTCTTCTCCCTGGTGTGGATTCTCTGGTGCTGAATAAGACCTGAGCTTCTACTAAAGGCTTTTCCACATTCCTCACATTTATGGGGTTTGTCCCCTGTGTGAATTCTCTGATGACGAGTAAGGTTGCAAAGTTGACTGAAGCTTTTCCCGCACTCTTTGCACTGATAAGGTCTTTCACCTGTATGGATCCTCTGATGTTCGATAAGGAATGAGCTCCGACTGAAGCTTTTTCCGCATTCAATACAAAGAAAAGGTTTCTCACCAGTGTGGATTTTTTGGTGTTGTATAAGATATGTACTTAATCTAAAGGCTTTCCCACATTCACCACATTTATGGGGTCTTTCCCCAGTGTGAATTCTCTGATGTTCAACAAGTAATGAATTTCTACTAAAGCTTTTCTTACATTTGGTACAGTGATAGGGTTTCTCACCAGTGTGTGTCCTCTGATGTTCAATCAGGTGTGACTTCCAACTGAAGGCTTTGCCACAGTCACTACATTTATGGGGTTTCTCACCTGTGTGAATCCTTTGATGTTTAACAAGGCTTCTTCGCTGGCTGAAGCTCTGTTTACAGTGATTACACTGATAAGGTCTCTCTCCAGTGTGGATTCTCTGATGTCTAATAAGGGTTGAGCTCACACTAAAGGTTTTTCCACAGTAATTACACTCATAGGGCCTTTCCCCGGTATGAATTCTCTGATGTTCAATAACAAATGAACTGCGACTAAAACTTTTCCCACATTCATTACATTGGAAAGGTTTCTCTCCAGTATGGACCCTTTGATGTTGAATGAAATGAGCTTTGCGGACAAAACCCTTTCCACATTCTTCACATTTATGACATTTCTCTTCTGAATTTGGTCTCTTACGGATAATGTTAGTGTTTCCTCTGAACATTCTTTGTTCCTGGGTCAAAGATTCCCTTGGTATTTCCCATAAGAAGATTCCTCTTTGTTTATCTAACCTACCAACAAGTTCAAAGGTTTCTCTATGCATGGGATCCTGGTCAATTTCACTTTTGATTCTTGTAACTATTATACCCTGTGGTTCCATTTCTTCCTCAATTTCCTCAATTTCTTGTTTCACAGTTGGCTCCTCATCCTTATCTCTGTTCAAAACATCTGGAATAAATGGAAGAAAGAAATGTCAGCCTAGTTCTTTGCCAGAAAGAAGAAACTGTCATAAGATAATTAAATTAATCTACTACGTACATAAAATGTAGTTCACTATATCATAGCACCTTTGTGATTACATTAGTTCAAACACATAAAGTATTTAAAACTACCTGGCAAACAGTACAAGCTATGTAAATATTACTTACTGTTAGTTTTCTGATAAAATGAAATGCTTTTCTTAAAGAAAGGGTAACAAAGAAATTAAGTAATGGTAGGATAAACTAGCTATCAGGAAAGAAAGGACAATGTGGAAAGAAAAGAGTACGTTCAGAAAAACTTAGGATGAAGTAGCATTACTGTAATGTGAATAAGCCAAATAACTGAACAGAAAAGAACACATAAAATGATGCTGAAGGAAAACAGACAAAAACCAGAGGAAACAACAATTCATTCATTAATAAGAATTTATTGCAAATAAAAGCATTCCAGGCATTGTATTAATATAATGAATTAGAATTTAGAGATAAGGCAAGAAGCCTCTTACCAAGTGGAATAGCTAAAAAGTACAAACAGGGAAAGAATAGAATATGACAAAGAAGATATTAAGTAAAATAGTTCTTATATGGAGATAAATGGCTTTAAAAAACTGAGTTGAAGTGACATGGACTCTATTATATAGAAAAACAGGGGGAAAAAAAAGAACATGTTTAGAGCTAATGGAAGAAACTAGGAAAAAGAATAGTCTGTGGTAGTTCATGACTTCACCTACCACAGATACCACATTCTTCAAATATAGATGAGTCTCATTCCTCTAAAGATATAAGACCCGCGTTGGAACTATCCATTTCCAACTGGGAGTCTACATGACATCTGAGAAATGATAAACTTGCATGCACTGGAAGAAAGATAACATAATGGTCTATAATAAAACAGAGCAGCATATGTAACACTTAAGTATGCCTCTGACTTCTTCCCTGATTTTCTATCTCTTGCTGCCTGGTGGATAACTCCACGAGAAGATTCAATCACCACTAAATTCTTATTTGACCCTAACAATTTTTCCTTTTTTATACTTCCTTTTTTCTTTCAGTTTTATAATATTCTAACTGTGGCGTCATCTTTGAATTTTCTTTTCACTTACTTCAAACCAGTCATTATTTTATTCAAAAAAAAAAAAAAAACCCTCTCATTTCCCTAAGAAACTTTATTTTTACTTAAGGTTACTTACAGTGCAGTCTCTCAAATTCATTTTCAGTAGACAGTGTTTTCTTTCACTCAAAGAAAAAGGATGAGAACTGCCTCACCAATTTGCCTCCTACCTAAAATTACCTGCACTGCTACATGAAGATATATCCCATTCTTATCCAAGGCTAAGTCATCTACTCTCTCGATCCCACTTGCCTCTGGGCACTTGTTCAATTACCATTTCTTTCTCTTTCTTCAATCTGTATTCTCCATAGAATTCTACATACACCTTCTTACCAACATACAAAATATACCCAACTTTATCTTGAACCCGAAATCCTTTTCTAGATGAAATCCAAGCTTTGAAAAAAAAATATTAACACTGTACCTCTCCATTTTCTAACTAAGTTTTCCACACTCAATCTCTTCCCATTCAACCTACTCAATAATCTATTATAAAATCTGGTTTCTGTTTCTAGTATCTAGAGAAACTTCTCATTAAATCACCAATGACTTTCAAGTAACAAATGCAATGGACATTTTTTAGTCCTTATTTTACTTGCAGCATGTGATATTGTTGACTACTCCCATTTCTTTATACTATTTTCGGTTTTTATGCTATTGTATTCTAGTTCTCTTCCTACTTCTTATTTGGCCTTTTCTAATACATTTCCCACATGCATGTCTCTTCTCCTCACTGTTTAAGGATATTTTATCCATGTTTATATCCTCATCTTGCTCTATATACACACTCTCTGAATATTGCCACTAAGCTGTCTCAAAAAGGTCTCACAAATAACATGACCATCATCATTTGTTGTCCTGTCTATCTCCACCTTTAATCATGTTCCTTTAGGAAGCATTAACTGTCCATCACCCTACAGTCCCACAGCAGGAAATCATTCTAGATTTCTCCCTTTTTCTTACTATTAATCAATCACCAAAATCAATGATTCTACTCTTCAGCATTTGCCCTCTCTGTTTTCCATAGATTATTGCAAAAGACATCTAATAATCTTTGGCTCTGGTCTTTAGGTTGCATCTATTTCATTGAATCCAGAGATACTGTCATGAAATGGAATTCTAATCACGTCACCACCTACAGATCCTATTATCTCTAAAATCAAACCAAATCTCTCTATACTATGATACTCGGTACTTCTTGAGGTCTCTAAGCTTCAACTCACTCTCCTTCCCATGCTCTCACACTTTAAGTGGGTAAATTGCTTATGCTTTAGTCATTTATGATAGTTCTTTGCATGTCTCATTTAAGAAATATCCACTGACAGTGTTTACTTGGGAATCTCTTGGTTTCTTTTTAAAATTAAATGCAATGCAATAGTTCCTCTATAAAGCCTTCGCTTAATCCACTAGATGATTTAAATGTTCTGTTTTTGATGACCATCCCTTGTCCATAACTGCACTATAGCTATTATTACACTGTACTTCAGTTTGTATTTTCCATTGGATTACAAGTTCTTTCTGAGACTTTGTGTTAAAGTCTCTTCATAATATTTACTCAGTGGATATGTTCCAGGGTTTTACTCAAAGGAGTAATACAATTACATTATTTGCAGATGATATGACTGCCTCCCCTTCACAGAGCACACCTATGTTGTGGCAAAGGGGCTTGCATAACTCAATGCAGCTATGAGCTATGCCATGCAGGGTCACCCAAGACAGACAAGTCACAGTGGAGAATTCTGAGAAAATGGGTGGCAGAGGACGAGATGGTTAGATGACATTACCAACTCAATGGACATGAATCTGAGCAAATTCTAGGAGACAGTGAAGGACAGGGAAGCCTGGCATGCTTCAGTCCATGGGGTTGCATAAACAGACACAATTTAGCAACTGAACAACAATGACCCCCTACCCAAAATTCCTAAAAGAATTAAATGAAATATAATAGCTATGAAAGGACTAAGATATGAAACAAATATTGGTTCTTACTACCAAGAATAACAAGTTAATAAATATTATAAGAAAAGAAATATGCTCTTCATGATATTAAAAACTATAAAGCCTAGGAATATATCTAACAAGAAATGCAAGATTCATAAAAGAATCCAAAGGACATAAGACAGTTAACTAGAATCAACCAATTGCCAAAGAGAGTCAACATTATAAGGCTCTTACTTCTTCCCAAACCAACTAACAACTTAACTATCCAAACCAAAATCCCATGAACCAATTAAAAAACCCCAATGAATCTAAATTTCAACTGGAAGAATGCAGAAAACTAGTTAAGTACAACTGACCCTTGAACAACATGAAGGTTAGGGGCACTGATCCTCCACTCTGTTGAAGATGTACATATAACTTTATAGTTGGCCCTCCATATCCATGGTTTTGCACCTACGGATTCAGTTGATTGCAGATTGTGTAGTACTCTAGCATGTATTTAGTGAAAAAAATTCATGAACAAGTGGACTCTCACATTTCAAACCAATATTGTTCAAGGGTCAACTGTATAACTTGAAAGAGAACGTAAGAGTGACTTTATCTTACCAGACATGAAATATGATATATTGCTAAAGTAAATAAAACACAGAGGCACTAGCATGGAAACAAATAGGTCAAACAGAGAGACATGTAAAACAAGTGAATCTAGGCTTCCAAACAGAGCAGCCTGGAAAGGACGAGCCGTTAGACCTGGGCTTGGGAGCTACAACCACCTTCTGAGGTACCTGCCATGCTTGTACTGCATGTTCCCATCCTCTGGTCATAGCTAATTTTTCTAGAGTAAACAGGTGCCTCAAAGTGCAGTTCTCTCAGTTTTCTAGGAAAAAAACAAAACAAAACAATGAGAGAATGGGGAAGGACTTGCATTTTTAGGCCAAGCACAATGCTTTATAATTATTTATTGAATGAATGAGCAGTTGAATAAATACTTGGAAAGATACTAAGGTCCAATCTGGCTCTAGCAGTCTGGAGAGAAGTTATCAAAACTGAAGAAGTCTATTTCAATTGAAAGAACTGAAAGGTCAAGAACTGAGAGATCAAGCTGTCATCAACGTAGTTATTGCAGTTTTTAAAGAAAAATCAGCATGGAAAGGACAGGTATGACTGAAGAGGCAAAATTACAAAGCTAGACAAGTTGTGTTAAGTAGAGTAACAGAATGAAATACCAGAAAACACTACACTGGAATAGTTGAGTAATCATAGTCTCTCATCAAGGGAGCACAAATCAAGGGGATGGATACAGAATTTATACAGGAAGATGAAAAGATTGTGGAGGAAGAAATAATAACTCATGAAAAGCTGTTATTTCAGCTACAATAAAGAAGAGAGCCTGAAAGCAGGAGATCACAGATGGGCTCACTGCCATTTTACAGTACCAGGCATAGGCAAGGCTGCGCATTCGCCTGATATTATCAACCAGGACACCATATGGGTGGAAAAAGCTGTCAGTGACTCAGAGATATCATAGCATAATGGAAAAAAAAAAACCTAGCATCTGATATGGCTGGAGACTGAAAACAACAGATGAGGCTAGAAAGCTACACAGGAGCTACATAAGGTGGTTCTAGTATACAGGACAAGAAATTCAGTGTTTTTTTTTTTTTTATCCTTTAAGGTGTCAGAAATCACCAGAAGTTGTAAGCAATTAACTAACACAAAATCATTTTTTTTTTTTTTTATCCTTTAAGGTGTCAGAAATCACCAGAAGTTGTAAGCAATTAACTAACACAAAATCACTTTGGTAGCAATAAAGAGAATATATTAGAAGAAAGGGAGACTGGAGGCCAAGGGGCTCGATTACGAGCTAGTGCAATCATCTTGTCAAAAGATACTGAGTCTTAAGTATACTCACTCAGTCACCCAAATATTTAAGAAGCATATAATATATGCCTGGCTCTATGCTAAGTCCTGGAGAAATCAAATGAAAGAATACAGTTACTATCCTCCTGAAGATCAGTCTGCTTAGAGAAATAACATAATGATTATGGAACACTATAATAAATTCAATAATGGAAGTGTATAACAGACAGCACAGAGAATGGAGTACTGAATTCTGAAGAGGAAGCCCTTATATCTTAGTAGATAATTTGAGATCTGCCAGATGTGAGTTACTTATGTGGTCTTCAAAGGAGATGACTAAGAAGTTGGAGTTCAACAGAGAAGATAATGACAATGATGATGAAGGTAACAATTGACATTCATACATTCTACTTAATACGTGCTTGTCAGTGTCCTAAATACTTTACATGTATTAACTGAGTTAATGCTCACAATAATCCTAAGAGGTAAGTACTATTATTATTTCCATTTTTATATAAAAAAAGAAAACAGGCACAGAAAGGTTAAGTAATTCACCCATGGTCACAAGTCTTGTAAGTAGTAGAATTGGGATTTTTTTAAGGCAGTTAGGCTCCATATTTTCTCTCTACTTAAGTAGAGATAAAGATTTGAGACTTATCATCACATTCTTGATGACCTGAATGTAAATAAGATCTGCTAAGGTAGGTTTATAGACTGAGAAAAGTCTGAGAATGCAAAGAAATAGAAGGAAGCAATAAAGAGTTTCAAATATCTATAAAGAAATGAAATTAAATATATTCCCAAAAGAATCTACTGTATTTGACAACTGGGCCATTATTGACAAATGTTAAACAACTGAAGGTAAGTGGCAGAGGTACAGAAAGCAGCTTAGAGATAATGGAAGTAAAGAAGTAGAGAATATATATTAACCACTCTTAAAAAATCTGGCTGTGAAGCAAACAAGTAGTAGGTTACAGGAGCAGCAAGAAGGACTCTGGCTCAAAGGAGAGCTCTGGCGCCATGAACATACCCATCATCAGAATAAAGGTACCAGGGTAGAAAGAATAGAGACTAAAATTACATGGGGGTGGGGGGGGTGGGGAGACTGATAAGTTCTTGGAGAATGTGCAATCTTACATGTGCAATGAGGGGTAGAAAACTTGAGAGTTCATGTGTGGTAGTCTCTTACCTTCTCCGTGAAACAGAAGGTAAGGTCCACCACTGAGTGATGAACCCAAGGAAAACTCAAAGTTTCTGAAATAGTCACTAAAAGTAACAGGGGTAGGAGCAAATCAATGATAAAAAATTTGCTGAGCTATATAAACCCAGTGGTTTTTATATCCAGAAGGAAACCACCTGTTTATATATGCAGGGCATCAATTCTTTCAGTTACAGAACTTCTCTTGTTGTGTTCAGCAAATCAGGTAAGAGAAAAAGGCAGATTTTATAACCAGTAGAGGACTTCAAGATGTAGAATGGGTAGAACATGATGACAGAGTAGCAAGAAAGCATGCTGGTGATCATTTTATGTATAGGTCTATGAGTTAGCGGAGAAGGCAATGGCAACCCACTCCAGTACTCTTGCTTGGAAAATCCCATGGACGGAGGAGCCTGGTAGGCTGCAGTCCATGGGGTCGCTAGGAGTTGGACTCGACTGAGCAACTTCACTTTCACTTTTCACTTTCATGCATTGGAGAGGGAAATGGCAACCCACTCCAGTATTCTTTCCTGGAGAATCCCAGGGACAGGGGAGCCTGGTGGACTGCCGTCTGTGGGGTCGCACAGAGCTGGACACGACTGAAGTGACTTAGCAGCAGCAGCAGCTATGGGTTAGATGAGAAGGTGAAGCAGGAGGGAACTAAGGGCCTGGGGGGGCGGGGGAGAAAGGAAGTCAAGGAACAGGAAAGATTAAGAATAAATAGGTTCAGTAGGAAAGGAGGAGAAGAGGTAGACAGGTAGGAAGTTACAGTAAGCTCCACATGGAGCTTAGCAGACATAGCAGGGATCATGTCTGTTTTGTTGACTTGTTTAGTTATAGTCAATAAACATCTACTGACTGAGAAAGAATAAGGTATTAGTCAAAATACAAGATACGGGGGTTTAAAATTTGCCTGTTATAACAAAATTGAAGGTGTGATCATTGATGTGAGGTGCTTAATAAGAATGGAAAATCAGGGTCCTTGAAGATAAAGTGAGGCAGAAGTAATGACTGTATGATGGATGGTGTGGGTTAACAAAGAGAAGATTCCGAAATGTGACAAAATCTATGTGTGAGACACACACACACACACACAAAAATTGACAGATGATAGTGAAAAGAAATTAAGAGGGTAGAGCAAGACAGCTGAGACCTCAAAAGAGAAATTACATTTGAAAATGGAAAACTAATGCTTTGGGAACAGTACTGAAAAGTTAGGAGAACAATTATTTTTCCCTTTCAGCCCCGAGACAAAGGATGGGGAAGGAAGAGGATGTGGGAGAATAAGCCGCCTCTGCCAGAGAAGTAGTGTCCTTGGGAAATTGCCAGGTTTCAGTTAAGGCCAGGAGGGGTAGGGAACACCATGTGAAGAGAAACAGGGGCTCCAGAAGGCAGAGTGAAAAGGGTGGGAGGAAAGCAGTAGGAGGATAAGCTAGGAGGGAAAAGTACAGAGCAATATGGGAATGAGAGTAAGCGGATGGAAGCCAGAAAAGCTTGTATTTTGGTCACTGCAAGGACGGTAGGGATGAGAGCCATGGAAACAATTCATGGCTGAAAGGTCTGAATTGGAGCCTTGGAACAAAGCAATCTGGTATGGTACTAGCTCATGTGTTCTGCTTTCTTACAGTTTCTTAGCTATTTTGATCCAAGAAACAGCAGATTCTTACCCAGTGAGACCAGGTTTCCATAATTCTCCATCATGACATCTTTATACAGGCTTCTCTGAGCTGGATCCAGATAATCCCACTCCTCCTGGGTAAAAAACACAGCCACATCCTCAAATGTCAGC